CCAGTGGAGCAAGCTCACTCTTTCGCCTTGAAAGGGCACCTCAAAACTTTCCTGAAACCAAACGGTGTCAACTAAAAATAGATTTAACTACATAAAACAACAAGTAAAAGGGCAGCTACATAGCCTACATCAAACCTTCCTGCTCTGTCATCTGTTTTTGTGTCATGTATGCTCAAATGTTCCGTTTAGCTCGTCCAAAACATTTTCCAGATCACATTTTCAAATTTCCACCCCAACACCCACACCCACATTTTAAATGTTCTTTTCATATTCTCAGCAGCTCTTTTTTTTTTGCAGCAGCAGCATTGGCCTCATCTACCCAAGTTGAAGGCCTGTATTGTAAAAACTAGCACTCTTTTGCCCATCATGATCTGTTCTTGAGTACTCAAATATGAGCATGGTATTGGAATCACTGCGATATGAAAGATTATAATGCAGACAATGATTCATCTGTTAAAATCTGGCCATGGTTCACAGTTAATGAGGACAAGAAATTTCAGTAAATGTTTCATAATCCAATTTCACCTCCTTTTCCCCTGATTCTTTCAAATGTTGTCGAAAACAGAAACTCATTAACAGTATATGATGAAAACTATTACAATGGACTAATTCTGACGTTGGCATTATGCTGAATTAATATCCAGGATTTGTGTCACGAAACACTTAGCAGCTTAGTCACTCCGGTAAATACACACCCTCTGCCGCAAATGGTTAATCAGACCCCAGAAGACAAACAAGCACATAGAGATAGTTACAGTAAGCAAAAGCAAAGCACGACAGCAAGAGAAGTGCACGCAGACACACAAAGCAGCGTCAGTCAAACAAACACACATACACACTGTGAAGCACTGTGTGGCTCCATTTCTAATTAAATGACCATTAAGCAGGCCATCATTGTGCAGAGTCTGGCTTGTGTGTGTGGCAGCCAGATCAGCCCGTGTCCAAGGCCCCTCTCTTGTCTGCCCTATTGGATAGAAACACTTTGATGAGGACATGTTGACAAAATAACTAAGGAACAGGTTTGCCAGAGTGCCATGAAAGTAGAGAAAGGCCTGCAGATGCTGCGATGATTTCTCAGTCTGTTTCAATTATCTGTGTCTTATTGAATCCAGAAACATATTTACAAAGGTTCTTTCATAAACTGAGGTTTAAGCCAGCGGCCTGTGGCTGTTTTATTGTGACTGTCAGTTGTTCACAAGTTTAAGAGAAATTACAGGCTATTTTTGCCTGTCAGTTGATATGACAATGGAAAATAATGTGCGAGGCAAACATTTTCACAATCATGGCTGACATGTTTTCTAAGCAAAAGGTTTGTTGTATCTGCTGAAATTTGTTGTCTCCTCTTTTGAGCCAACAGAACAAAGCTTTGACCCATTTTTCCTTACAATGTAGCTGCTGACGAGTGAAGAAGTTTGCTCTCTAAAACACACTTATTGCACAGAGACAAGTTTTTTTTGTATTTCCTTTAACAGGCTGGCTTTGCCACTGTAGCTCTTGATCTTCCGCTTTCACATTCATCACAGTGTGACCATGTTTTTAAGTTCTGTGGTAGCCATCACCTGCACCACACAATTCTGATTCAAAAATATAAATAGGCTACAGCACTGACAAACAGGAAAACTACATGGAGGTTAGCATTTAATTCATTATAGCCAAGGAGTGCTGCAAAGCCACAACAACAAATATCAAACAATTCTCATCAGTTTCATATTTAGGGCTGGGGCGATTTGTCGATGCAGTTGACATAATCGATTACGTAAATACGTCGACTCCTATTAAGAGCATCGAAGCGTCACTGCATCCGGTGTTAGTGGGATTCCCCCCGGACAAGCTCCAGCTACAAGACTGTGCCTCTGACCTTCTAAAGTTTGGGAGTATTTTAGACAGACACTTAAAAACGTGCTGCTCCGTGAACTCTGTGAATTGGAAATAGCTTCACTGCAGCACAACTGCTGTCCACAAATATGTGAAGCAACATGAACAGGTGAAGCTAAAGTATCCCGGAACACTGACGACAGCACCGCAAATCCTGTTTACTCCACACAAGCACGGCACATTATCAGCATGAGGACACATAGTCCGTTAAAATGTATTTTCTAAGTTTTTCGTCATCGCCTTCATGTTAAAAGTAATTTCCGGCCTGCTGCTGTCATGGTAACGTTACACCGTGTGTCATCTCACATTCGGCCATTTCACATTTTCTGTTTATTTAACGGCCAGGTATGAGCGAGAAAACAGCTGAATCTAACATTACAGACAATCTGTGACTCTACAGTCTGTGAATCCTTTCAGTTATTTTCTTTGCCCCACACTGATGCAGAAATACATTTGATTATCATACTGCATTACTCAATATTGAACTAAATCCATGTCAGAAACATTTAAAGTTTGAAGTAAAATAGTAATTACTGTCTGTTATTGTTATTATTATGACAACACATCAGTTAGGTGGAAATTTTATTCATTTTAAGTTATGCTACTATTGTCATGAATGAAATATTTATTTATTGATTAGACGTGTTTTTGATATTTATTTTGGATAAATTGGTATGTTAATTGAGCAATAGGCAACTTTTTTTTCTTTTAGAATAAGCAAAATTAGTCCTTAGATTAATCGACTAATTGAAAAAGTAATCATTAGATTAATCCACTTGAAAAATAATCATTATGTAGGCCTACAGCCCTATTAATATTACCCACGTAGGCCTATATCTAGGTAGGCAACTTGTAGAGAACTAGCAAGACTTAAGAGACAGTTTCGATTTTGAAAAAATGAAAGATAAAAACATCCAACCCCTCCTTTCAGACTTCCTTAGTAGTAAATGAAGGCCAGCAAAGCGTGTGCATGTGAACGTGCACGCGTAACATTCAGGCACGTGAATACATTTTTGATTAATAAAATGGGTGTTTGTATTAGGACGTGTCCGGCCTTATCCTCTATTAGCGCCAGGGGGTGGTGGTGGTGGTGGGGGGGTCGTTCACCAAAAGGTGAAGACGGGTGTTAAAAGGGGGGGTTTGTAGTTGGGGAGTTGTTTGTATATGGGATGTCCGGTGTTATCCTCTAAAAGCGGATGTTTGGGAGTGGCTTTAGCAATCGGTTGTATATAGAGAGGGTTCGTTTTTAGACTTCTGACCGAGAGCGTGGAACAGTGTGACTGAACGATTTTTGGGTGAATCCGTATCGGACAGAGCTATCTTCGTGCAAAACAACAGCGCCATCTTTGCAGCATCACAATCATGGATGTTGCAAGTAATCAATTAGGAGTAATGACTCCAAAACGACGTATAATTATAGATCCTGTTGCAATGAGTATGGCTCCTAGAAAGAAGACTCCCCCAACAACATTGGCTGATTTTCTGGACCGAAAGGCTTGGGCGCTTCAGTTTGAATGGGCGTTGGAAGATTTTAGAATGTCGGGATTCTTGTTTGAGCACGGATCAGTTCATCTTTATACAAGAGAGCTTGATGAAATTTTTGTTTGTGAAAGCACACCGCACATTAGCTTTTCAGCCAAAGACTGGAATTACTTCAGAAACAAAGTCTGTAAAGATATGAGTGCTTCAAAAGGAGTCTATACCACACAATGGTGCGGGTCTGTGCCAGGAGAGCTCTACCGTGTAGAGACAGACCTTGAAGTCTACGATCCAGAATCCTACATCTTTTTTTGATCATGCAAGGACGATTCTATCATTCAAAATGCCAGGAAGGGGACCCCAGAGCAACAAAAAGGCTACCTCATCACGTCTAAAGAGTGGGAGACGTGGTTCAGCACCTGCTTTGTGGTCCAGTGGGGAGAATGGGATAGAACCCTTGAAGTCTTCTCACACATTGATAAATTATTCAGATGGTATAAACCTTATGTTAGCTATGTAGGGATCAAAAGAAAACTTTTTGGTCCTGAGGACAAGCAAGATGAACAACAATCAATCATCAAGTAACCGTAAGGAACACTTGTGGCATCCTCGAAACAATCCATAAAAAAATTACAACATTTGTCTAGCCATTAGCATGACTTGGTATTTATCTCTGGGATTTTTAAACAAAACAAGATAATTGGTATTCAAATTAATAGCATGGCTAACTTTGCCTTGAAAAAACAAATTCTGAACTAGGAATAAACAACTTAAATTTCTATGATGCACATATTTTGTAAACACATTTTGGACCTCATGGAATACATTATACTTTAATTTATGTAGTTGTATATAGATAACTGTAATGTCATGAATTTCATAGGGTTCCTAAGGGACTGTTTTCTGTTCAGTCCTGTGTCAGCCACATTGTTTTATCTGTGCATTTTACTTCTTCATTCCAGATAAGAAATAATGCTTCTGAAATAAATGACCTAGTCCAGCTTTAATTTCATATCACATGAAAGTGGGACCAACTGATGGAACTCTAAAACACTGAGAGCAGCAGGTCTGTGGTCTGCCATTTTTCTGCTGCTTTAAAGCTGCTTGCACACTGCCCCAACAAATGCCGACCGACTCCGACCAACACCAACTGTTGGATCAGTGTGCGCCCTCAGTCGGTGTAAGTCGGATGGAGTCTTTAGAGTTTGACATGTCTAGTCGGGTTGGGTCGAGTTGTAGAAAGTCGGACCAATGTGTGCAGCCTTCCAACAAACTGCCAGATTGTGAGTGTCCTCGGGAACATCAGCGCACATGATTTTCTTTGATCATGGGTTAGCAAGGTATCCATTACGCGCTGCTCTCTCTCTCTCTCTCTCTCATTGACAACACACAGTCAAAAAAAATGGTCGAATCAAGAGATTTTATTGGTGGGTTTGACTGACCAATCATGGGTTTGCGTCTACCACATGGTCACGCCCACAATCCCCTTGCTCCGACCAGCACTTGGCTCTAATGGAGACAGAGTTCCACCTTTTTACCAGTTGAAATACGTACTTTGTAGTATTGCACTTGCCAAAAAACTAACAGAATATAGCTTAATCAGTCCTTATTACCAGTCACAATACATTTAAATGGCCAGTACAGCCTGTATAGCCAATGCAGTTTTGCTCTTGCCAAAAAATTTATTCTACCTCACTACATGTGACTTAAAGGTTCTCAAAATGAATTGATTTCATTTATGAGCGTTATGAGTTATGGATACTTATAGCTTACCCAGTCCTTTAAACCTGTTGAAATACCTTTAAAGCTCCAATACAACAAGCAACAAGTAGTTTTCCACTTGCCAAAAAGTGATTGCAGCCTTGACCTTGTGACTTAAATAAGAAAATGTAGGCAACAAAAGTCTGTCTGGTCAGTGTGGAACTGGCAGCTGGTTTTCTGAACGTTCTAAAGAACCGAAACCAACTGCTTGCGTTACGGGTTTCCAATGGCGGGTACCACAGCAACAAATGATTAGTGGTTCAAATGCTCTCCAACTCCTGAAAACACAGGTGAAATGATCAGATGAGTGAAGACCATAGACTGTATAAAGACACGAACCATGCGTTACTCTTCCCAAACTTCCTGTAACGGGAGGGCCGAAACTGCCGCAACACCTGACACATTGGTTCCGTGCTCTCGTTCCCTGATCAACTAAGGGTTTGTTCTAAAACCTATATGAATACAATCCCTTACCTCTAATAACAGCTAACCTCTAATATTAGAGAGAATGCAGGTTTACAATAACATAACCATAAACAGTGGTTTATGAGGGCACAGTCTGAGCCGTGTGCAAACGTTTTAAGCTACATTTTCAGCCGCAAAGTCTGAGAAGAGAGGAAACGATGCAATGAAATTCACACCATCGCTATTTAGAAGACATGCGGGTGCAACTCCCATTAAAATCTGTTTAGAAAAATATATGCTCAGGAGAACTGCTCATTTGGTAAGTTTTGTTTTAACTGTATACACGTGTATTTGAAAAGAAAGGAGATGTGTTACATTGTTATACTGTTTCTGCTTTTTTTTTTTTTTTTTTTACTGTAGTTTACTGTTGTTGCTGAGTCATCAAGCTCTTCACTTCTTAAGAAATTGTTTTCCTGTAGTAGAAGTAAATATCCGTTGTTGTAAGATGACCAAACACTAAAATAAGTTCTCTTATGTTAGCATTTGAACTACAGTGAGCTTTTGAACATGTCTTATAAAATTAAAGGATAGGTTCACATTTTTTTCCCCCAAGTCTTGTCTTAAAACAACACTCACATGCTGACTGAAACAGTTCATACCACTCCATACTGGCCATAAAGAGATCTTTTCTTATGGGATTCCAATGTTAAGAGATGGGGGACGAATTCCACAGTCCTCCTTTTGGGCAAAGATGCATTCTAAACATTAGTCAAAGCTGACATGAAGCCTCTATGACGTGTATTAGGGCCATTGTTGTTTAAACAGTGACTAAAATATGGAGCAGGGGGAGGGCAGTAATATTCCAAAATTTTTCAGTCATTAAAAATACAAGACAATAATCAGCGCAGGCATAAGGAAATAGGTGGGGCTTTCTGACAGGCAAGGCAGACACTGTATTAGGGTTGCAACAAAGCCACAAAGTCACACTTTAGTCATTTATACAGTGAGGAAAATAAGTATTTGAACACCCTGCTATTTTGCAAGTTCTCCCACTTAGAAATCATGGAGGGGTCTGAAATTGTCATCGTAGGTGCATGTCCACTGTGAGAGACATAATCTAAAAAGAAAATCCAGAAATCACAATGTATGATTTTTTAACTATTTATTTGTATGATACAGCTGCAAATAAGTATTTGAACACCTGTCTATCAGCTAGAATTCTGACTCTCAAAGACCTGTTAGTCTGCCTTCAAAATGTCCACCTCCACTCCATTTATCATCCTAAATTAGATGCACCTGTTTGAGGTCGTTAGCTGCATAAAGACACCTGTCCACCCCATACAATCAGTAAGAATCCAACTACTAACATGGCCAAGACCAAAGAGCTGTCCAAAGACACTAGAGACAAAATTGTACACCTCCACAAGGCTGGAAAGGGCTACGGGGAAATTGCTAAGCAGCTTGGTGAAAAAAGGTCCACTGTTGGAGCAATCATTAGAAAATGGAAGAAGCTAAACATGACTGTCAATCTCCCTCGGACTGGGGCTCCATGCAAGATCTCACCTCGTGGGGTCTCAATGATCCTAAGAAAGGTGAGAAATCAGCCCAGAACTACACGGGAGGAGCTGGTCAATGACCTGAAAAGAGCTGGGACCACCGTTTCCAAGGTTACTGTTGGTAATACACTAAGACGTCATGGTTTGAAATCACGCATGGCACGGAAGGTTCCCCTGCTAAAACCAGCACATGTCAAGGCCCGTCTTCAGTTTGCCAATGACCATTTGGATGATCCAGAGGAGTCATGGGAGAAAGTCATGTGGTCAGATGAGACCAAAATAGAACTCTTTGGTCATAATTCCACTAACCGTGTTTGGAGGAAGAAGAATGATGAGTACCATCCCAAGAACACCATCCCTACTGTGAAGCATGGGGGTGGTAGCATCATGCTTTGGGGGTGTTTTTCTGCACATGGGACAGGGAGACTGCACTGTATTAAGGAGAGGATGACCGGGGCCATGTATTGCAAGATTTTGGGGAACAACCTCCTTCCCTCAGTTAGAGCATTAAAGATGGGTCGAGGCCGGGTCTTCCAACATGACAATGACCCGAAGCACACAGCCAGGATAACCAAGGAGTGGCTCTGTAAGAAGCATATCAAGGTTCTGGTGTGGCCTAGCCAGTCTCCAGACCTAAACCCAATAGAGAATCTTTGGAGGGAGCTCAAACTCTGTGTTTCTCAGCGACAGCCCAGAAACCTGAGTGATCTAGAGAAGATCTGTGTGGAGGAGTGGGCCAAAATCCCTCCTGCAGTGTGTGCAAACCTGGTGAAAAACTACAGGAAACGTTTGACCTCTGTAATTGCAAACAAAGGCTACTGTACCAAATATTAACATTGATTTTCTCAGGTGTTCAAATACATATTTGCAGCTGTATCATACAAATAGATAGTTAAAAAATCATACATTGTGATTTCTGGATTTTAATTTATTTTTTTAAGATCATGTCTCTCACAGTGGACATGCACCTACGATGACGATTTCTAAGTGGGAGAACTTGCAAAATAGCAGGGTGTTCAAATACTTATTTTCCTCACTGTAAATGCCTGCAGTTCTTCCTCAATTTTTTTATGCTTATGTGAGGTATATGTTTGTGTGTATTTATACTCGGCTGTTTGCCGTTGAATCTGTTTTTACATCCAACATACTAATTATTTTTAATTCTGACACATGGCCTTGTCTTACAGACAAGTATGTGCTACTGCAACACCACCAACATCACCACCAACATTACCAACACCATTTGCAAAGTGAACATCTTGGAGGGTTTGGCTTACATTCCTTTGTTTCTCGTGGGTTTCCTTGTCAATGCTGCTGCTCTGCGTGTCGTCTTTGCCAAACGGGACTCCTGGACGGACACCCACATATACAGTACATGTTCAACCTGCCCTCATCCTCTTCCTTCCCTTTAGGATCTATGATTCCTTCTTCTGCCTGCCCAAGATTTACTTGTGTACTTTCCTTATGTACACACATTTCACCAACATGTATGCCAGCATCCTGACCATGGCGGCCATCAGTATCCAGCGCTACCTGTCTATAAGGTTCCCACTGCAGGCCAGATCATGGAGGAAGAAGAAAGAGACGGCTTTTGTTGTGTGCCTGGTCCTTTGGGTGCTTCTGGTGACAATGTGTGCTATATTCCGAAAGGAGAACTACCCTGAAAAACTGTGGACCTGTTATGAAAGATGTAAAAATCAACCACTGAAATTGCGATTTATTCTCATTATGGAATTTCTAGGCTTCCTCACTCCGCTGTTTGTTGTTGTGTTCTGTTCCAGTCGGATTATATGTGTTCTGTTAAAAGTGGATGACAAGTCAGAGGAAAAGAAATGCACTATTGGCATAGTGACAGCAAATATGCTCGTATTCATCGTCTGCTACACTCCAATCCATGTTGGCTTTGTTAACGTCTTTAATACTCCACCTACAAACTGGCAGACTACATACTTACCTGCACATACATATTTGCTTGTGTCTGAATGGATCGCTTCCACAAACTGCTGTTTTGATTCCATCAGCTATTATTTTTTATTGAAATGTTTTTATTCATAAGTCATTGGGAGTACACAAAATTGACCTGTCTCTAAAAACAGCATTTGTGTGAACCATTTTTTTTTAGAAAAATTATATTGTTAAAACAAATTATACTGTTAAATGGGCACACATTAAGTTCAGTTTGCTGGTCATGATGAATAATACTTAGCCTGTGGGAACAGTTTTATAATCTTTTCTCTGGCTCTGGAGGGAGTTTGAAACAAACACCCCAAAGATGTCAGCAGGATAATCTTTGCATGGGCTTGAGACTTTTTCATTTTTAATATAAACCTGCATTGCAGGTTATATGATTAATAACAAACGGGTCATATGGGGTTTGAAAGAAGTGGGAATTTAGGAGGCTAGAAGGGTCAGATTGAAGATACTATTGAGTTGCATTGTGGGAATTGTAGGATGGAGCTTGATACATTTAAGGGACTAAAAGTCAGGATATCTGGACCTGTGCTCCTTCGTGTTTTGACTATTTTTTTTAGCATCATTCTGTTTCTTGTGAATTCCAACAGTGGACTATGCCTTTACATTTGCATTATAAGTAGCAAGCTGACTGATTGCAATAAATAGTATTTGGCTTTTTTTAATTAGAACTTTTATTGTGATTTATTTCTATTTGTGTGTAATGCTGATATAAAAAAAGAATAACTTTTTAATTGGTGGTTGACTCCTCAGTTTCCAGTTGGTTAATTGCACAGTTGATTTGTTAATATAGATATTTATTTTTAAATCAGTGGAAAAAAATTTACTCTACAACAGTTACATCTGGCTTAGCCTAATTAATCAAGTTGCTATATGAACTATTTAACTACTTTAGGGTGAATGTTCATGGGTGTGTGTTTTAGGATATAAATACCTTTTATCTTACTCCCGCAACCTTTTGTTGACCTTATTGCTCTCTGTGTGATGTTCAAAGAATGATATCAAAGCAGAGAACAAGGGTTCTCATCTCTGCACCAGACTTCTCAACAAAACAGCCTGTATCGAGCTCTGCAGCGCAGACAGACAATGTTGAGTCAATGCACAGACACCCTTTCACCCACTCACAGATGCCTGATTAATGAAGGCCAGTGTCCAGCTCCCTCTTGTGGCTAGGATAACAAATGCTTGAAAGACTTTCCGCTGCCTCTCTGCTGAGAAGCGGCCTGTTTCAAACTGCAGAATCTGATGACAAATATGGCTCATTTACAGAAAATAAACTGCAATAATGACATACACATTACTTGAGACTGCTGTGAATTAATGGAATTGCATTTGTAAATGTGTGTATTTGTGTGTATATGCGTGGGCATGTGTATAATGATATGCATTTATTTCAATGAGTGCATTCAGAGCCACACTCGACAACATTAGCAGTCAATTATATAATGCCATTTAATAGCAATACTCCAAAGATTGATGGTTATTATAACAGCAGTATCTTAGCAACTGCAAAAACTCAACAGGCATCAGTCAAATGAGAAGGCTCAGTTCTGGCTGAGATCAGGCCTGTGACTCTACTCTAATAACAAGAAACAGCTGAGCTCAGCAGTCAGCCAAAGTCACGTAAATACTGTACATACATCTTATTCACAGCATTGTCACCGAGAAAACCCAAAAAAAATCTCACACCTCAAACACAGTCGTGTCTCAGAAGAGCTTGAAGGATCCCCCCTCGAAACCAAACGGACACGCTATACCTTCAGGATGATTATTTACACTATTCACAAATGATACAGAACAGCTCATTTTCAAAATGCAAAAAAAGAACATTTTTGTGCTTTTCCTTATTACTGCACAGTATAATGACTATAAACAAACAAACAAAAAAGAATGAGTACATTCATTCACTCAGGATGTTGACATGTATTTTCAAGATCCTCCAGTATGGCAGTTGGTTGGAAATGACAGACAGACAATCACTAGACTACAGAATAAGACGAAAAGCCCAGAATCAGCAAAAACAAAAAATGAGATACACAGTGTTCTCACAGCATTTCACTCCATTTGAAGGTTTGCTTATGAACTACTTCTAAATCATTATTATTACATATTGGCTATTATATTATAATAAACATTCAAGTTCAAAGTGTCTGCATTTATTCTTACATATTTACAGTATATAAGTGTGGCATGATGTGTCAGAGTAGTTTATAAACAGACCCTCAAACACTGTTGGTTTCAGCATTCAGTGTCAGTGGCATCCGGGGCAGACAGAGGGGTGGGGGCTGAAAAAATGATTTCAACAGTACAAGCCGACATCTAGATACAAAAATAAAACATTCAGCATGTAAGGTCAAAGGCATACATATCACAAGTATACTGCAACAAGTGAGTTATCCGACACCGCAGTACATGACGTGCACTGCTGATGGAAGTGGTCTTCATGGCACTTTTGAAACAAGTTTCTGTCTTGCTTCACTAATCAGGCATCATTTTATCATTCATATCTTGGTTTTGGCACACAGACGTGAAAAAAAAGACACTGGTAATACTTAGCGTCTTGGTGATTTCAATCTTAGAGTAGGTTGATGTGAAACTTCTATGAAAACAGATTTTCATACATTAATAGCTATAATGAATTATAATAATTAATGTTTGTTTTTGTTTGCAAGCTTGTGCCTGATGTCATTTTTTTTGGAGTTACTGTTTGTCTTATCATTTTATCTAAATTAAAGTTTATTATGTACAGATAAACCATATATTGCTGCTCACTACAAGGTTAGCACAAACCAAAATGTGTCGACTACTGACTGCGACTGAGAGCGAAAATCAAATCATCTGGTCAGTTCCCGCTTTTTCCCTACTGTTGTTGTTGGTGCATCTCATTTCATCAAGCCCTACCTGCTTTTTGTTTCTGTCTTGTTCATCTTGACTCTCTTCTTTTTTTTGACTTCCATCTCCTCACTAACCCACAGAAAAACAATGTTGTGTTGACCTAAACGCTGACCATTTCATGGCACGGGACACTTTCATGGGCTGAATATATGGTCCCATTTGCCTGCTGGGAACATTTCCATTACCCCTATTGGCTTTGAGTTAAGCCAGAGGTTTCCATCATCATGACTGTAACTGTCACTTTGTTCTGTGTCATGTCTGTGGGACCTTGACTAACTGTGGGCTTAAGGGGAAATTTGCCCTATAAAACCGGACTGTGTAAATGTCTATAATGCAACATTAATGGACGCGTGTGTGTGGAAAAACCCTAAGGTGACAGTGAAGGACAAGGTGTTCATATATTGCAGTCCATTTTTTTAATTCTCTAAAACACCTCTCTTTCTTTCTGTCCCGCAGTGTCAGCCCACTGTTCTGGTGCAATCTCCCCAGACGACCAACATGGAAGTTATTGGTCATTAAAGAGTACATGGGGTGTAAGGAGGCAAATGAATAGAGCGATGGATGGCTCAGATGCTGTCATTACGGGGAGCATGCGGTTGGCAAAAATAGTGCTGACATTTCAGTGCTGCACTTTGCTCTCCAAAGATGTGAGTTATGGTCCCATATCCCTATGAGACAGTTTAGAGGCATTTGGCACACACACACCGTGCTTCCTGTGTACATAGAATACTAAATACCCTCACTCACCTGTACAAAAACATGTAGGCATGTACTGTATGTGCGCAGCAAAGAGGAAGAGTGAGAAAACGAACTAGAGAGAGGAGTTTTCTCATCATCCATTAGATTTGTGTTTACAGTTAGAATGACTTGTCTGATGAGTCACCTACAGCTTCAGATACTTTTACGATGTTCAGAATTTGTAATTTCACTTCAAGTGCCTAGTTGGCAATCAGACCAACAGGTAATAGAGTGGAGAACAGATGGGCAGCAGTCTTGTTAATGTTATCCAAGAGGGGGGAAAGCATCCCACTCCTGCAGCAGTATCTGACTGGCTCTGCTTCCTCAGTTAATCTGCACAGAGAAGGCAGCCTCTAAATGCGTGTCCATCTTTGTCTCTGTCCACATCCTCTCTGCCTCACATTCTGCTTTCTTTCTTTCTTTGCACTCCATTCTCTCTCCTCCCTCTTCCTGCTGCCGCTGGAGGGAGAGGCAACTCTGCAATGCAGACACAGCAACAACCTCAGTCCATCTGACCAATTAATGTGAGCCAGGATATGAGTGGCAGACCCAGCAGCCAGTCATAAAGAGAGACTTTGCATGGGGTGAAAAGGGGTAGGGTGGTGGGGGGTTGCCTGAGAGACTGACAGAGGAGATTAGGAGGGCTGAATAACAAATAAAGATGTAGGGAGATGGGAAGGAAGAGGGGAATGGACTGAGTGAGGAGGAAAGAGAGATCTATGTAAACAAAACAGAGAGCTCTGGACATGGAAAAGCTCCCGTCCCCTTAATTTCCTCAAGAGTCACTGGCCAGCCTGAGTCCTATCACTGCAGTTCTTCTTACTCATCAGCTGGCTGAGATCCACCAGCTCACCCAGCTCCCCTCGCTCCAGGGCCCCTCTCAGCAGGGCCCTGCTCAGCCCGGGGGCGTGTTGCTGGGACACGTAAGCTTGGCCACTGGGAGCGGGCATGGAGGGTGGAGGCAGAGGGACAGGGACCATGCCATGGCTGCTGAGGATGTATCCTTCCGGGGCTGGCCAGCGCAATGGCAGCGGCTCACCATACTCCATGGGGGCGCTGGGTGCTGAGACCACCCTCCTGCGCTCAGGCGAGTCCTGGGGGGTCATGGGGTATACATATTCCCCTGCAGACTTCCTGAGAGGCGCTTTGGGTGTCCCCTTTCCTCCTTTTTCTTGCTTGCTCAGGCAGACATAGTGCTGGCGTGGCGTATCATTCCCTCGGCCCTCACCACTGTGTCTCCCGCCTCCCCCCTGCTGGAAGAGTCTGGTGGTCAGGTAGACGGAGGGGGGTATGCGGCAGGGTGAACCCAGACCCACAGAGCCTCCCCCCAGGTACGTCTGGCTGGTGTCCCAGCCACCAGAGTTGGAGTCCGACAGTCGTAGGCCTCTGCGTTTCTGCTGGGGCGTGTGCTCCGGGGTGGGCAGGAAACCTGGGTCAAGTTCTCCTGACTTCACCCAGCCGTTGGGCATGACAAACAGGGTTTCACCGCCCTGAGAGCAGGGGCGCTCCCCTCCTCCCTGCCGCGTCACACTGAGCACAGAGCCTCCCATCCCGCCGGCATTACTCAGCAGGCCTCTTTCACGCCGCTGGATAGAGGACTGGGAGGCGTTGCCGTGGCGACGGTTGGTGGGCTTGTGGGCCATGATCCAGCACACAGCAATGCCAGAGAGCGCCGCCCCGATGGTGAACGCGGAGACTGCAGAAGCCACAAGCAGGTTGAGGGAGACCAAGCTCTCCGGTTCAATCAGCAAACTCTGCTGCAGAATTCCTGAGGATTAAGAGACACAATTATGCAGATGACATTTAGTAGAACAGCACAATGGACATCCTCTCTCAGTGTCTGTCCACAGGGTGCAGTTTAAAATTATTATTATTATTACATATAGTGCTATTCTGCTACTAAATACTTAGTGCTTTCCACCTCACAAGATATAATGTATCATAATAAATCAATAACTATAATAACACTCATAAATGGTGATCATCGTGTTCAGCTATATACGATTATTTTCTGCGATGATTATCTTTAAAGGGAGCTTCTCTCCAGACTGGCCTTGAGGCTCAACAGGCTCCAGGTTGAGAGAGGCCTGCACTTGTCATCAGCTCAGACCACGGCAGCTGACTTTTCTTTTCTCCTCTCCTCTCCTCACACTTTCCATCCTGCAGCCTGGTAAGTGAGTCTCTCCTCGCAGCATACCATTACCTCAGTGTTTCCACCCAGCTCTAATCACTCCCATCTGCAGACACAGCAGCACATGTCTGTCCTGTCTTGGCCTCTGCTGTGCTTTCACTGCTTGGATTAGAGCCTGTCAGGTCTGCAGCCTGGCACCGCTGACTTCTACTGCTATCAGTTTCTGAAAGCAGGATAAACACTAGAAGCCCATCAGTTTAAAACAAATGTGTATGAGTTTGCTGTTGTCTTTTGGAAAGTCGGATCTAGCTAAATGGATTTTATGACTAAAACAGGCAGAACAGTTCTGAAAGAATATGCTGGAAAGGAAATAATTTTTTTCTGGGTTTCCACTGACTTGAATGTGAATTTCAGAGCAGGGTTCAAAGAGGCCCTCTCTGGCGCTGCTGAAGTGACATCTGAGCCTCATCACAGAAGTGACATCAGTTTTTTATGCTCAGCTATTTTCAGCTTGCTCACTGGTTACCCTCGGTCAGTCCTCTCTCAGATGTTCAGCGTTGAGAGAACAAAGCCTCATAACCAGAAGGAAGTTCCATTTTCCGTTGTGCAGTGGTATTGTCTACCAGCAGTTACACTGCTCACATCCTCCCTAATTAAACTGTCTCACACCGGGAGCGTTTTGACCTGTAGGAAGTGAGGCTGAAACCAAAATCCCAGTTCAACTCTCACCTGATTCATCTCTGACAAAGACACCAAAACACTCTAAGTTGCTAATATCAAGGTTGAATGGATCTTGCTGAGCTGGGGAGGAAATCACATTACACTTTGGATAATTAAAATGTGCTAAATTACAGTTAATGTCGCAAAATACTCTCTCACTCAGAAGTATGAGTTTTCTTCCCCCAGAACAAAATATTCAGTGACAAGTAGACAGGTGTAATGAGGGATTCAGCCACTAGGTGGAGCTTGCCCTCAGTCCACCGTTCACAGCCAGAAGCATCCATGTCATAGTGCTGCAACCTACCATCACAGTCTCCTAGATGGGAGGTGGTGTTTCCATATTCCACATCTTGTTGAAAAGGCAGCCTGCATTCACAGAGAGATCACAAATAAGAACATCAAAGATTTCAATATGTCTCTTCATATACGTTATCGTGCCTTTAACTTATTACAGTTTTTCTCAGTCGCTTTGGTGCATTTCTGGAATCATCCTTAACATTTGCAAAACAGTAAGTGCATTTCTCAAAACAGGTAGTGCACAACACAGTGGATTACCTGCAAAAGCCCATTACTTGCTCAAAATCCTTAGTCTATCTCTCAAAAGCAAATCTTTATGTTATAGAACTTGTCAGTGCCATCAGAACGGCAAGTCCTTGTGTCTTGTTTATGAACAAGCAAGTCAAAATGTTTAGCCATCTTGTCAATATAACAGTGTACAGTGTAAAGTATTTTCTGATGTATACTCTGGCTAAAATTTTGATGACAATGATTGAAAATGCACAAGGCTGCACTTTTTTTGTCTGGCATATATCACTTTCACCAGTACAAAGTTATACATTGCAGGAGAGAGGACAGGAATCACAGCTATGCTTTTACTGTTTGTACTGTAATTTGTTGACAGAGCATGTCATTGTAAGAAGAAAAGAAAGAGACAGGACTGTTGCATGGGATACAGTACATCCCTTTGGCTGACGTTCTGGTCTGTTTTATCACAGATTGTCTTCCACATCACAACAGATATCTTCATCAATTCAGGGCACATTTACAAAAAAATTCAAATAGACATGTATAGAATGTCTATCTATATATACATACGGAAGCCCTAATCAAATATTCTTTTACTCTGTTTTCCTGTGATAATGGGATAAGTGTCTCGTGATTTCAAGATAACCATAATGGTAATTATAGTGCAGCTTGCATTATCATTGGTTAGCTCACTTGGTAGTGCACAGGACCTATAGGTTCGAGGTTGTGTGTTCAATCCTCACTGAAGACTAAATTTTTCTTTTTTATATTTTTCATAATCCTCTTCATCAAAGTTCTTATGAAAAGACTGTTTCACATGCTCACATTACTGTAAAGCATGTACTGGACATGTGCGTTCTTGGTCCACATCCATCAACCTATGGACTTGTCATTTCCCCATCATTCCCAGGCAGAGGAAAGACCTTCTCATTCAGGGGAATCCATATAATGTTACACATTTCCTGATGGCTTTCCGAACCTTTGAAATAGCCTGTTGGGAAATGTGTGATTGGATTCCCCTCAATCTCTTCATAACAATTTTGCTGAAGAGGATAATACACACAAAAGAAGAAAAAGAAAGTCTACAAGAACAGGAGTCAAACTAATCAAACTGAGCCCTGTACTCTACCAACTGAACTAACCAGTGACACTGGTAATTGCTTTGAAATTATCCTAAAGAAACGCACCTGCCAGCCCCTGTATTGAGCTATGGTTTGTTATCTCGTGATCACGAGAAAATTAATTATCCCATTCTCAGGGGAAAATGCTTTATATATATATATATATATTTATATTACTTCTCACTGCGTATTGTTACTGTTTACTGGTATTGAGTATTGGTATGAGTGTTGCAATTGTGATGTTGTTGTGGTCTATTCTTACTTTGTTTATGGTCCTTAAGAAACAACATTTCGCTTAGCTACAGTATATACTTGTAGGCAAAGGATATGAATAAAGTATTTTAACTTTGATTTTTGATAACGTGTTCAACCATTTTGCATGTAGTGACTAATGCAATGAACTTATGCCTAGATGTTTTGGGGGGTAAGATTATTCAGCAGAGACTGGTATAATTCATTATGATCAGCAGGACATAAGCAATTGATAATGTAGGAAACAGCAGACAATTGTACATAATCATTTGCATCAGTGTGTCAAGCCATTTGCAATTTGTTCAAAACAATGAGAAAGTGCTTTTATGATGTGTACAAGTGACGAGATGATGTGAAGGTTGAACAATTAGTTTTGAGAATTTCAATTCTGATCTGACAAATGCACCAAAGCGACTGAGAAAACTGTAACTATATAGCCTACAGTTATGTGATCTCTCATTGTGGTGTGTGATGAATGTTTACAGTCTTACATAACTTATACCTGACTGAAAATAACTGACTTTTTAAATGAAAATGCTCACATTTGCCACAAAGTATGGAAGAAAATGTGGTGCTTCCAGGCCTCCTTGTGATTTCCTGTTTCGTAATGTTGAAAGTGAGATTCTTGTTTTTTTGTTATTCTAGTAAAACTGAGTAGTTAGTGAGTCTAGTGTTTTGAACCATTTGTCGGTGGGCGTGATGGAAAGCACTGAGAACAGGTAATTAATCTGAGGTAATGTTTTCATTTAACCGATGCAATTCGTCCAATGAGAGTGAGTGGAAGTTTGGTCCATCGTTTAAAATCATCTTCTTTTTTTTTAACAGAGGGGTGTAGTTGAGGTGGAAGAGATCTGACATCTTATCAGAAATGCCTAAATATTTTATGTTGCCAGTGTGAAGAGGGAAGCAGGAGTCTTGAGCTGCAGAATCCCACACATCTAGAGATAGCGGTAGTATAGTTGATTTATTCCAGTTTATTGTGTAATGAGAGATTATTGAGAAGTTATTAATGATCAATGTTTCCTGTAGTAACACAGATGGATTTATACAGTGAGGAAAATAAGTATTTGAACACACTGCTATTTTGCAAGTTCTCCCACTTAGAAATCATGGAGGGGTCTGAAATTGTCATCGTAGGTGCATGTCCACTGTGAGAGACATAATCTAAAAAAAAAAAAATCCAGAAATCACAATGTATGATTTTTTAACTATTTATTTGTATGATACAGCTGCAAATAAGTATTTGAACACCTGTCTATCAACTAGAATTCTGACTCTCAAAGACCTGTTAGTCTGCCTTCAAAATGTCCACCTCCACTCCATTTATTATCCTAAATTAGATGCACCTGTTTGAGGTCGTTAGCTGCATAAAGACACCTGCCCACCCCATACAATCAGTAAGAATCCAACTACTAACATGGCCAAGACCAAAGAGCTGTCCAAAGACACTAGAGACAAAATTGTACACCTCCACAAGGCTGGAAAGGGCTACGGGGAAATTGCCAAGCAGCTTGGTGAAAAAAGGTCCACTGTTGGAGCAATCATTAGAAAATGGAAGAAGCTAAACATGACTGTTAATCTCCCTCGGACTGGGGCTCCATGCAAGATCTCACCTCGTGGGGTCTCAATGATCCTAAGAAAGGTGAGAAATCAGCCCAGAACTACACGGGAGGAGCTGGTCAATGACCTGAAAAGAGCTTGGACCACCGTTTCCAAGGTTACTGTTGGTAATACACTAAGACGTCATGGTTTGAAATCATGCATGCAGAAGGTTCCCCTGCTTAAACCAGCACATGTCAAGGCCCGTCTTAAGTTTGCCAATGACCATTTGGATGATCCAGAGGAGTCGTGGGAGAAAGTCATGTGGTCAGATGAGACCAAAATAGAACTTTTTGGTCATAATTCCACTAACCGTGTTTGTAGGAAGAAGAATGATGAGTACCATCCCAAGAACACCATCCCTACTGTGAAGCATGGGGGTGGTAGCATCATGCTTTGGGGGTGTTTTTCTGCACATGGGACAGGGCGACTGCACTGTATTAAGGAGAGGATGACCGGGGCCAAGTATTGCGAGATTTTGGGGAACAACCTCCTTCCCTCAGTTAGAGCATTGAAGCTGGGTCGAGGCCGGGTCTTCCAACATGACAATGACCCGAAGCACACAGCCAGGATAACCAAGGAGTGGCTCTGTAAGAAGCATATCAAGGTTCTGGCGTGGCGTAGCCAGTTTACAGACCTAAACCCAATAGAGAATCTTTGGAGGGAGCTCAAACTCCGTGTTTCTCAGCGACAGCCCAGAAACCTGACTGATCTAGAGAAGATCTGTGTGGAGGAGTGGGCCAAAATCCCTCCTGCAGTGTGTGCAAACCTGGTGAAAAACTACAGGAAACGTTTGACCTCTGTAATTGCAAACAAAGGCTACTGTACCAAATATTAACATTGATTTCCTCAGGTGTTCAAATACTTATTTGCAGCTGTATCATACAAATAAATAGTTAAAAAATCATACATTGTGATTTCTGGATTTTTTTTTTTAGATTATGTCTCTCACAGTGGACATGCACCTACGATGACAATTTCAGACCCCTCCATGATTTCTAAGTGGGAGAACTTGCAAAATAGCAGGGTGTTCAAATACTTATTTTCCTCACTGTAGATACAATAGATAGATATAGATACAACATAAAATAGATAGAATAGATACAATAATAAATAATCTATGCAGATGAAAGACTAATTTTATGTTGTGAGCTGGCATTCTGGATTCCATCAATTTTATTGTTTTTTTTGTATTATTGCTGCGAGTGGTTCGATGAAAATAGAAAATAGGGATGGTAAGAGTGGGAATCCTTGTCCGGTTCCCTGATGAAGTGTGAAGCTAGTTGAGGTTATCTGGTTTGTGATTACTAAGGCTCTAGGTGACGTGTACAGTGTTCTTATCCAATGGATGAACGACTCTCAAAAACCAAACTTGCGCAGGTTGCTAAATAGAAAAGTCCAGTTTACTTTGTCAAACGCTTTTTCGGCATCTAATGATATGATTATGGTTTTGTCTTGTCTTTGCTGCTATTGTTTGGCATTTTATTTAAGGCTGTATAGAGTTCTTCAGAAGTAAGAGGTGTGTCTAAAAGGTTGGCTTGTTCTCTAGGTAGTGTAGGTAGGTTCATGGTAGGTTGGCTAAGAAGTTGTCTATTTCTGATTTCTTTGGTTAGGTTCATGCTTTGAGGAATAGACATTGCTATAAAAGAAAGATATTGTTTATGTCCTGCGGATTGTGGGTTATAGTATCTGTTGAGTATGGATGGAATAACTGCTTTCTCTTTTTTGCATTGTAATTGGTTTGCTAGATATTTATTTGCTTTATTTATCACAATCCTGTCCTGAGCTTGTCTGTGTTATATTATTTTGGCCATGCCTTCTCGGTGTTTTGATTTTGGTTTCTCTGTGTCTGGGTTTCAGTCCTGTCTGTCTGTGGTCTTGTATCCAGTCTTCTACTTGTTTTGTGTGGTGGTTCTGATCTGTCCTGTTATCTCGTTGTCTGCCTTAGTCTGCCAGTGCCCTGCTCGGCCAGCGCAGCTAGCCCTCCGCCTGTCCTGCCAGTGCCCTGCACTTTAGTTCTGTTCCTGTCCCTCATGTGTTAGTTTCCCACCACCATGCTTAGGTTCCGTCTGTTGGTTAGGTGTGATTTATGTTCTCTGCCAGTTTCAGTAATCAGATTTTTTTAATTCAGCTCTAGTCTCTGTTTAGCCTTCATTATTCATCCACATCTTATTTAGTATCTGTCTTGCCTCGTATCTTAGTTCTTAGTCCTGTACCTTAGTTCTTGTCTTAGTGTTCACTCCTGGTCGGTGTACTTCTGTGTTGTGCCAATGTCTGAGTTCTGCTTTACCTTAGCTTCTGTCTGTGTTCCTTGTTGGTGTTAGTTCATTTGTGATCTGTCCACTTGTTTATGTTACTCTGATGTTTAGTGTTGAGTAACTTGTGTTTGTCTTTCCCCCCTCAGTAATCTGCCTGCCAGCTATTCTCTGTTTTCCCTTCTGTCTCTCTGCCTCGTTAACCCTGATCCCAGTCACCTGTGTTGCTCCCGCCCTGCTTGTTAGTCACTGTGTATAAATGTCTGGTGTTTCTGTTCATTCCCTGTCTGGTCATTGTCGCATGTTAGTCCTGTCGGATTGCTACCATTTGGATGTACCAGTTCCTGTACTCGGGAGTTCTGTTCATGCCTGTTTGTCGTGCTTGGGATAAATAAACCCTGGAACTCAATCTCAGCTCACAGTGTCTTGCATTTGGGTTCACTCCTGCTGCACTCACTCAGCAGTCCGTGACAGAATGACCGGACCAATTAAGAGCCCAGCAGACACTCTAAATGAGGAACAGACTGACGTGCTGAGGGAGCTTCTGACGCTGAGGAATATGTGGTATGGGGCTAGTCATGTTAGCCATAAGGCAGCTATCGTGTCCCTTGCCTGGAAGAGCCTGGCTGCTAAGCCAGGAGCAGCAGACTCTTTCCCTGGGTGGGCTTGTGACTTCCTCCACACCTTAGCCGATCCCCCAGCCAAGTCCTCATCAGTTCCTCAGTCCGTTAGCCTGGAAATGGCTAACACCCGGACCGCTAGCCTCCAGCCGTCCATTCCCCGGCCTGCTAGCCCTCAAAGGACTTGTTCTCGGCCTGCTAGTTGCAGGTTGGGAAGCATCCTCCTGTCCTGCCCGGCTAGAGCTGCTAGTCCTCCGCCTGTCCTACCTGGATCCTGCTCGGCCAGCGCGGCTAGCCCTCCGCCTGTCCTGCCAGTGCCCTGCTCGGCCAGCGCGGCTAGCCTGTCCGTCTGCCTGCCCCACCTACCAAGGACTCAGGTACGATGACTCTCCTGGCCTACCTGACCACGAAGGCCAGGGAGTCAGAGGCAGCACGGGCAGCTAGCCTATGGCCTGATAGCCTGGAGGCTAGGCATTCCCCAGAGTCCTCTTTTGAAGGGTTTTTCGGGTTCCCGTGGTGGTCATCGGAGGCGACAAGGTCACCATCAGAGACCCGTCTGCAACCAGCCCGATCCCTGGCCTGCTAGCGCTGCTAGCCGCCTGCCCGAACCCTGGCCTACTCCTGCTCCCAGGTCTCACTCTGTGGTCCTACCGACACCTGTTGCTGGTCCCTCATCGAAGGTCCGACTGACACCAGTTCCAAGGTCTCAGTCAGTGGCCAGACCGGTTCCTGCTCCCCGTGCTCCGTCGGTGGTCCGGCCGGCACCAGCTTCGCCGGTGGTCCGATCGACTCCTGTTCCTTTGTCAGTGGTCAGACAGCCTCCAGCTCCTCATGTTCGGTCCATGGTCATCAGCCCAGCTGTTCAGTCCATGGCCTCCAGCCCTGCCGTCTCGCCCGTGGACCTCAGCCCAGCCACTCAGCCCATGTTCCTCAGTCCAGCTCTGCCACTTGAGGACTCAGGCCTCCTACGTCGGCCTCCTGACCAACCTCCGGAGAGGTTCCGCCCTCAGCACTGGCCTCCTGCCCAAGCTCCTGAACTGTGTTCCCTCTGTTCTGCCTGGCCTCATGGGTCGTCCCCCGGGACGACCACCTGAACTGTTATGCCCTCCTGGTCTGCTCGGTCGACCTCCGGGTCGGCCCCCTGAACTGTTTCCCCCTTGCTCTGCCCTCGGGCTGCCCGCCTGAGGTTTCCCTGTCTGGTCCCCCTGCCCTGCCTGGCCGGTGTAGTCATCCTCCGGGACAACCTCCTGAACTGTGTGTTCTCAGTTACCCTCCTGCCCTGCATGTTAGGCCAAGCGCCTTAACTGCCCTGTTTCCTGGGCATGATCTGCCTGTTGGGTGGTTCCCCCGGACTGTTTTGTTCCCTAACCCTGATTTGCCTGTTTTGTCTTCCTCCTGGACCTTGTGGCCCCCCTGTTTTGCCCGGCCTGTTGGGTTGTCCTCCGGGTCGGCCCCCTGAACTGTTTCTCCCTTGCTCTGCCCTCGGGCCGCCCTTCTGAGGTTTCCCCGTCTGGTCCCTGGACTGTGTGTTTTTTGTTTTTTCTGGCCCGCCTCCTGTCCTCCCTCCACTTACCCTGGTCAGCCTGGACTTTGTTGTTTGTTTTTCTGGTTGGTCTGTTTTTTGGTTGACCGTCTGGAGAAGCTCATCGGTGGGGGGGTACTGTCACGATCCTGTCCTGAGCTTGTCTATGTTATTATTTTGGCCATGCCATCTCGGTGTTTTGGTTTCTCTGTGTCTGGGTTTCAGTCCTGTCTGTGGTCTTGTATCCAGTCTTCTACTTTTGTGTGGTGGTTCTGTTCCTGTCCCTCATGTGTTAGTTTTCCACCACCATGCTTGGGTTCAGTTGTTTGTCTTTCCCCCCCATCAGTAATCTGCCTACCTGCTAGTCTCTGTTTTCTCTTCTGTCTCTCTGCCTCGTTAACCCTGACCCCAGTCACCTGTGTTGCTCGCGCCCTGCTCGTTAGTCACTGTGTATAAATGTCTGGTGTTTCTGTTCATTCCCTGTCCGGTCATTGTCGCATGTTAGTCCTGTTGGATGTCGTGTTTCTACACGTTGCTACCTTCTGGATGTACCAGTTCCTGTACTCGGGAGTTCTGTTCATGCCTGTTTGTCGTGCTTGGGATAAATAAACCCTGGAACTCAATCTAAGCTCAGTGTCTTGCATTTGTGTTCACTCCTGCTGCACTCACTCAGCAGTCCGTGACATTAGTACTATATTGAAAATGTTCATATTTAAGTTGTTGGATAAGGAACTGTTTTTTCTTTTTTTTTTGTGTGTGTGTGTGATACTTTCCAGTTGGGTTTTACACATTTGCTTAAACTGTACAGGAATGGGAATATTTGTTCAATTAAATTCATATGGCACATATTGCCATGTCATCCAGCGACGCATGATAGATGCCATTATTGATTTTCTCTTTTTGCATGCCACTCCACAGGGAGGTCAGAGATCAGGGTTAGCTATACAGGTGACGTGAGCTGGAATTAGGGATTGCAGTACTATAAATGTTTTACTTGGATGAATAACACAACAATTCTGGATATTATCTTATATATTTAATATTCATTAGAATATGAATTTATAAGGATATGGATAAACATTCTTTTGAAATTATTAACTGATCAGGTAACAAATTAAATCATGCTTAATGAAATACTATACACCCAAACATCTTTACTAGCTCTGTTGGCTAACAAAATTAAATAAATATACCTACAAAATAAAAGTAACAAACTTTTACATATTCAGAACCATTATTTAACAAGCTAAATTAAAAAATTATACTATTTTACAGCTTTACTTGAACTCACTAACTAAAATAATTACAAAAAACAGACGGAGAATGTTTTTTTGCGTCAACAGTCTGTTCACTGGTACAAACACGAACTACTAAAAAACATCAAGGACTTAACCACTCTCGTTTGTTAAAATAATAATGGGTAATTATAAGTACAGAATATTTATCACAATGTGCTTGTTTATTTCTTTACCCATTTACTGATAATTGTCTTTTTTTATTATATTTGCCCAGACTTGATTTAAATTACTGAGCAACAAGCGTCACTGTCCTCTTTATTTCTATTTTCTTACATTTATAACTTACATTTATAACTATGTCCAGATGTCTCCTTGAGGTGGCATTGTGGAATAAACAAAAGTCTGAAAGCACAGGGGCTTGGGTCCTCGTCTCTCAAAGTACAAAAACCCTCTGCCATTGTTTTATAACATTTATTCCCCCTAGTTTACATGAAGTGAAATACAAATTCAACATTAGCTTTGTTAGCTTTCTATGTACGACATGCAAGAATGTTGCAACTTCGCCAATAAAACTCCACAAACAGTACCTTCCTGAGTTTTTCAGACAGCAGTTATCCAAAGGTGGGAAACTGTTCAATTGTGTGTGTGTGTGATGTCCTCACCGTGTGCCTGGTCTCAGGAAGGAGCAGGTGCTGCCTCTGGTCCAGCCACAGTATGGGTCCCTGGAGGCTAGACAACTCCTCCGCACACACACACACACACACACACACACACGTGTTAGACATGGGAACAAGCGATTTTAACTGCAGAAGTTAGCTAGCTTCCCGTCTAGCTGGCTAACAAGGTAACTAATTATGTAGTGGGCCATTATAACCCTACAATATGAAATACTGTATGTCCCTATGGACCTGGCCTTTATATGTTTTGAACTGTGTGTGGAGAACCTGTGAAATGCTAAATCCTCATCTGGAATTCATCTTTATACACAGCAGTCACTATATGTTACTACAGTTTCCTGTATCCAAGTGTGATATATTGCTGCTGTGGGAATCAGGTTCACAGTGCTGAGTTCAACTTCAAAAGATCTTTCCTATATGTGCAGCAATAAACAAATGCCTTCTTGGTATTTATAATGAGTCATCCATTTTATTACAAGCTCAAGTCAAGACGATCTTGAAGCCTTTTGTGTCAAGTTAAATACTATTTCCCAAGGATAGAATTCTCCCAAAATAAATTTTAAACCAAACAAGCTATCTGTAGTTCAGCAAACACACATGCCATCTATCCCTTGCTGGCTGAAAAAACAGCAGAATTGCAATATATTTTACTGGGACAACTGCACTAATATGGAGTGAAAGCAGCAAGTTGGCCAGTAAGTAGTAACTTGGCTAATGGCCACTGCTACAGTCAAACTGACCTAATTATGTGCCAAAGAAACACAGAGAGAAAGGAAACTACTCTCCAAAACAAAATCAGGTGACTGCATGTCACTTACTTCATGCAGCGTGAGTGCAGGTGGCAGCGAGAGGTGGGCAATCGGACCAGACAGGAGGGGAAGGCCAGCAGCAGAGTATAGCTGGTCCGGTCCAGTGACAGAGACAAGAGCTGGCGAGCCTGAGGAGAGTCCTCACCACACCTGCAGACATAGTGAGGCACAGATGTGTGAAGACAGGAGGCAGAGGGTAATGAGCCAACAGCGGGAGGTCAGTGTACTCTTTTTGGCCCCAGACCAATCTGTGACAGGGTCAAAGGCCTCATCTGTTGGTACTTGAAGACAGACAGCCTAGTGCCCTAACCCTCATACGAATCAACAACATCAGCATATTAGAGTTTTATCTAGAGCCAGAGCTGTGTGGTGGGAAGAAATAAACTCTCTTTTGTGTTAGCTGCTGTTGGGTGAAGCCAAAATCCCAATGTCTTTGTTTTTTGATGGTCTTTTACACTAACTAAATCTAATTTGCAAAGGTTTTCTGGTGCTACAAAAGATTGGATCACATCAAAACAGGCATAATTTGTATAAATGATCACCAATTCAAAAAAGCAAAGATGCTTATTTTCATCAAGTCAAATAGAGCTGAAACATTTAGTTGATCAATCAATATTTCTGTTGAACTATTTTGATAATATTTTTATTGTCTTTTTTAAAATTAAGTTAAAATGCCAAATATTCTCTGGTTTCAGCCACTCCAATGTGCACATTTTATGCCTCTCTCTGTTGGATAAGATGGTTACAGTTTTTCTCAGTCGCTTTGGTGCATTTGTCAGATCAGAATTGAAATTCTCAAAACTAATTGTTCAACCTCCACATCATCTCGTCACTTGTGCACATCATAAAAGCACTTTCTCATTGTTTTGAACAAATTGCAAATGGCTTGACACACTGATGCAAATGATTATGTACAATTGTCTGCTGTTTCCTACATTATCAATTGCTTATGTCCTGCTGATCATAATGAATTATACCAGTCTCTGCTGAATAATCTTACCCCCCAAAACATCTAGGCATAAGTTCATTGCATTAGTCACTACATGCAAAATGGTTGAACACGTTATCAAAAATCAAAGTTAAAATACTTTATTCATATCCTTTGCCTACAAGTATATACTGTAGCTAAGCGAAATGTTGTTTCTTAAGGACCATAAACAAAGTAAGAATAGACCACAACAACATCACAATTGCAACACTCATACCAATACTCAATACCAGTAAAAAAAAAATAAATAAATAAATAATATATATATATATATATATATATATATATATATATATGAGAGCATGTGAAACAGTCTTTTCATAAGAATTTTGTTGAAGAGGATTATGAAAAATATAAAAAAGTGAGTCAAAATAAATTTTTTTTGTCTTCAGTCAGAATTGAGCACACAACCTTAAACCTATAAGTCCTATGCTCTACCAAGTGAGCTAACCAATGATACAACAAGTCACACTATAATTACCGTTATGGTTATCTCGAAATCACAAGAAAATGATGAGTAAATAAATATTTGATTAGGGCTTCCATATGTATATATAGACATTATATATAAGATATCTGTTGTGATGTGGAAGACAATCTGTGATACAACAGGCAACAGTCCTGTCTCTTTCTTTTCTTCTTACAATGACATGCTCTGTCAACAAATTACAGTACGAACAGTAAAAGCATAGCTGTGATTCCTGTCCTTTCTCCTGCAATGTATAACTTTGTACTGGTGAAAGTGATATATGCCAGACAAAAAAAGTGCAGCCTTGTGCATTTTCAATCATTGTCATCAAATTCTTAGCCAAAATGTACATCAGAACATACTTACAGAGTACACTGTTATATTGACAAGATGGCTAAACATTTTGACTTGCTTTTTCATAAACAAGACACAAGGACTTGCCGTTCTGATGGCACTGACAAGTTCTATAACATAAAGATTTGCTTTTGAGAGATAGACTAAGGATTTTGAGCAAGTTATGGGCTTTTGCAGGTAATCCACTGTGTTGTGCTGTTTGCACTACCTGTTTCGAGAAATGCACTTACTGTTTTGCAAATGTTAAGGATGATTCGAGAAATGCACCAAAGCGACTGAGAAAAACTGTAATTGAATACCTTTGCATTTTGTGCTTTGGAATTAACTGTAATAATTACCTCGGCCTCTTTTCATTATTTTTGACAATATTTTGACCCAGCGGTTATTATGTGACTGATTCTAAGTTTCAACTGTATGTCAAAAAATCTTTTAATCTTTTAATTAAACTCTTTTAATTATATATGTGAATATCTCTGTAATAGCTATGATCAAATAAATAACTGAATAGGCGTTTACTCAAAGCTGCACTTCAAAAATGTTAAAATCAGACATTTAAAATAAGTGTAACTGAACTCCTGTTCTTAGATAAAAAGCACCTCTGCTCTCTAGTCCTCAAATGGAGGCAGGCAACATGAGACCTGAGCTACTTGGAGCAACATGCCAAATGTACAATTTATTGGAGAGCAAGGACAAAAATGTACTCCTACTCACTTGTCTGGGTTGAATCCTTCCACCTCCTCCAGAAACACACTGCTGTGGGAGACAGAATCTCCACTGGGAATCATCAGAAACTTCAGAATGGTTCCTCGGGTGGAGCCCAGGAACAAGACCGTACGGTTCTTATGTGGACCAGCCTCTGTGTCGACCACCATGGATGTCAGCTGGTACCTAAACAGACAGACAGACAAACAGACAGACAGACAGACAGACAGATAGATAGATAGATAGATATAGATATAGATAGATAGACAGCCATAATGCATATTTTCAGATTTACACTTGTCATTTTTATGCCATTAAAAATTCAGCATGGGCGCTATCAAACAACTGAGTCAGTATATGTACCGGCCCATAGTCTTGACCACCCAGGGTCTGTGCCCCAGTAGTGGAACGGTCTCGTCCATCAGTGGGTGGGTCTTCACAAAGTTCAACACCTCATCTGGCAACGTGGTAGAGGAGCTAAATCTGGATCCCTGCACTGCACATCCCCCTGGTCTGCAGATGGGAAAAGAAACATAAACATAGAAAGTGAGGGCTGAAGAATGGATAGATAGGACAGAGATAGCGATAGAAGTCCAGAGAGAGCAAGAAGAAAAGAGCCAGAGGAGTTCTTTATGTGGCTGCTGGAAGCTGTATTAGAATATTTGCTGAATAGTAGTGAAGTTGCTGTGTGATTGACAGTTGGAGCTTATAGCAAGGGAGTAAGTAGATGTCAGACAGATGCTCAGGACAGCAGCACTGCAGTATTTTGCCCAAGCTCTGCTCACATAAAATTTCTATAACAATGCCATAACAATACCTAGGTTTGGGCACTGCTTCATCGGGTACGGGAGTCCAAATAGACTCGGGGGATTTCTGCTCTTTAAACCGGCCCTCAAAGACATGAGCGAGCTGCTGCATGTCAAATACACACACCGCGGAGCCAGGGATGCTAGCAGAGACAGAGAAAAGAAGACAGTGATGGAAAAAATTATGTTTGTGCTTCTTTGTGTGCTTCTTTGTGTGTGTCTCAGTACCTGTTTGGTGGCGTGGAGAAGAGACCAAGGATGACGTCTCGTCCCTGCATGTGGATGATGTTGCTTGTGGCGTGTAAGAGGTTGAAGTAAAAGTGTGAATCTCCTGGGACGGAGCAGTTGAGCCGTGCCTTCAGGAATGTGGTCCACTGCTTCTCGAGGACACGCTGAGAGCCACCCAGGTCTGCCTTACACACACGAGCCACACGGGACACCATCACCTGGGGTAAAATGAGTGAGGTAAGTAAAGTGGAGGGATAATAGAATAAAAGAAGAATTAAAGTAAAGACAAAATGAGAGCACCTTCTCGAGATGATGAAATTCCATGGCCATCTCTCTGAAGAAGAAATAAATATGAGGACCCCACTCCATGGAGCTCACAAAGTAGGGCTCTGAAAATTAATATAAGAAAAACACTGTTAGACAAACACACACACACATACAGAACAGCAGCGACGCAGTGCTGGAGGCCAAACATAACGTTCCACAGTTCTTGAAATGGCGCTGTGATAACAGTCACATCAACATGGACCGCTGCTGTCCAGTCGCTGTCGCTGATTTAATATTCATGTCCTGTTCCATTTATCATCATAGACAAGGGGATTCATATTATTTGTCCAGCACTGTTCCAGCTCTGACCTGACCATACTTGCTTTTTTTTCTCCATGGAAAACAGGCTCAACTGTGCAGTTTAACATTTGGTAAAACCTTGAATCTGTCCAACTAATCTCAATATATCACTCTGTCTGAGGGTGTTCTACTTATAATGAATCTATTAAATGCAAGACTAATCATCTTTGGTTCCCTGAATGTAGCTTATTATTTAGCTACTAGAATCATCTTATTCGGCTCGTAAGCCACTCATGAAAAGACAGACACAGCCATTTCATTTCCTTTTAGTAAACTACTGAAGAAAATGGTGATGGTTTCTGTTATGTGCTTCCTGATTGTCTATTGAAGGTGTCTGGCTTTGGAGATCATTTATGTGTCTGCTTCTAAAAGTACCTCTGAACCATTTGGAGTCGTGTTTGACTGTGCGGAGGGCAGGGCTGTCGCCGAGGCTACGATAGATCACCGCATCGATGGCCAGGAAGTCTGTCACAGTGCCCGTAAAGAGACTTCCATCTGAGAGCGAGGGAGATGCACAGAAAGAGGAAAGGAGGAGATTAAGAAGAAGAAGGGGAAGATACAGATGGAGAGATAGCACAAGGTCAGGAAGATTAAAACCAAACAGGCAATGCAGCGAGAGGTCTGACAATAAATCATTTGCAAAGGTAAACACAAGGGCAAAGGTGTTTCAATGTCTGGAGCTGAAGACTGAGCCTGCTGTCTGCTACAAACCCTGAATTCTTCATCTCTAGTGTGCAAACAAAAGACACTACCTGCAAATAAAGCCACATTGGCATGACGTGGATCATATGGGCACCGTGCCATCCCACTGACAGGCTCTCCCACCATTTCTAGAGTGTCTCTCTGCAACAGGAAAAAAAAACACAGATAAACAAACAACAAACTGGCAGATACACAGAGAATGACCAGCTGACAGATAGATGGATACTAACAGTGTAGTTGGCACAAAGCGGGTTGAAGGCGTTTGTTCCACATACAAACAGGCCACCATGCTGGCTGAGCAAAACCTTGATGAAATTACGGCACTCTCCCTGTAGAAAAAAACACAAAAAGAAAAGATTTAAGATGAGGAGAAGGCAAAGTGAAGAACACAGTTTTGAACCAAAGCTAAGCTCAAAACTACCAAGACTGCCAGTGTGAAGTATAACTAAAAACAATCCTTAGAGGGAATAACGCCCTCAGCCACACTCCATCTGGAGGAACAATAGGATGGAGGCTTTATAGATGTCTTCAAAGTGGAGGCTGAAACTCGATGACACTGGGCAGCCTCTCATTTCCTTTGTGACAGTATTTTACAACAGTATCTGGTGACATGAAGCTGCAAAGGTGGAAATATATTTGATGGAACTTGAATAAAACTGTGTAGGTTGATGTTTTGTTTATAAAAAGGTAAATTCAGTGCTCCTGATATTGAATGATGCTAGTTAATGTTACTAGCTTACAGTATGTGTGACAAACAAAGTCATGTTTTGTTGTAGGACATTTTATTAAGTATACTGGAATTGAGACACCAAGTATATACCAAGTATTTTGCACCTCATTGCACCGATTGCCAAATGCTAACAAAACAGTGCTCTTACTTGGGATTGAATTACACATGCTTATCAATTCCAGTTTGGTGGGTTTGACCTACAGGGGATAATAAGTGTTAATTTCTGGCAAAAATGTTAGTTTAAATGAGACTGAGGAATTTTCCTCCCGATAATATATTGGTAAAAAATGTTCTTTTTGTTATACTATGACTTTATATATATTTTTAGACCTTTTTAATAGCAGACTTTCTGACTCACCACAGGAAAAGTAAGTAAAGAAATAGTTTGTTGTGTTGGGAATATGCTTATTTGCTTTCATACCTAGAGTTGGATTAGAAGACTAGAAGTCTGTAGGCCTACGGTGAACGTGTTATTGGAGCCAGCAGATGGTTAGCATAGCTTAACACAAAGACTGGTAGCAGGGGGAAACAGCTGGCTCTTTCCAAAATTAGCAAAAACTGCCAGGCAACACCTCTAAAACTAGTCCAGCATAATTATTTTAAACTTCTGTTTTGTGCGGATTAAACAAACAGGATTTAACGTGTTAATTAGTGAGTTTTAGAAGTACTGGTAGGAAGCGCCAGGCTAGCTCTTCTCACCCTTTAAGCTAAGATAAGCTAATCAGCTGCTGTCTCCAGCTTCAGATGTACCGTACAAGTGCAAGTATTATTAATCTTCTCATTTAACTCTCAGCAAAACAGCTTTACCCAAAAACTGATCCTTCAACATTTTGAATAATCAATGGATATTAAAGTTGAGGTGTTTCAGTTCTGTTCAGTTCCCAGAAATTGCTGGCTTACTTGCACATGAAACAGGGCTCAAGTTATTGTTATTAGTTCTACCTGTGCTTTCCCTGCTGTGACATTTCAAAATGTCTGCTGTTAAAAAAGGTCTGTTCTTGGACTGCACTAACTTTAACTACTTGATGCTGCACATTTACCTAGGCTATATATGATATTAGACTGTAATGCTTGAGGGCGGAGTCTAGTAACCATTCTACTGTATGTCAGACTATTTACAGTTGCATTAATAATGCCATTAGTGCTTTAAAATTTGAAGTCTTTATCTGAGTTAGCAGGCTTCAGCTAATATTTTTTCACCTTTCTATCTTTTGTCTTCTTCCTCTCATGCTGTCACCATCTCTCCACCTCAGGCCAGTCTTTTTCCTCCTGTCTTTGTTCCTCTTTTATCAATTCCTTTTTTTTCGCTCCTACATCTTTCCTTCTCTCATCTGTGTTCTTTGAAGCAACACATCTTTTCCTTTTGTTGTCTCTCTGCCTCTTCCTCACTACTACTTACTGATCCTTATTTGTTTCTACCCCAGCTTTTCTCTGCCTACACACATCCCGTCCCTACCTATATAACTCCCTTCATCAACTGATTTCAATTACAGTTTCCTCCCTGAGGCTGTCACTCTGCACAGTTTGCTCTTTAATGTTTACCTTTTTCCTTTTCCACATGTTCCACCCAGATTGGATTTTGCCTGTGGCACAGCTACATTTATACAAAAAAGCATATATTTTGGGGTACACCCTGTCAACTGAGCTACCATCCCCTCAAAACTTTCTCTTTTGTAGAATCACATTACCTTCATATGTCAGAACACTGACAACTATCACTTTACATACACACATCATTGTTCCACTTTTCAGTCTTTCCCACAGGCCTCAAATGAGATATATGAAGAAAATTGGCACAATGCAGGTATGCAAGAAAATGACTTTCAAGCTTCATGGACATCTTTTGGCCTTTTAACTGAGCTAGCATGATTAAGTGATGTGCTGATTCTGTATCAACAAAATCAAATTTGTGTAAATACCGTATGCAGGTGCACCCAAAGGAAATAAGGTTTCTCTAACAGCTGTTGTGTCTGTCCATGCGTGTGATAGTGTAGATAGTGTTGATGCAGGTAAGAGTGGATCTCAAAGTCAGCGTGTTGTGTACGACAAGCACTGTACCTCATGTTTGCCCTTCATCCGGCACACTCGAATGTCATTCTTATTGGATTCCCAAGTCCGTTTCTGCCAAAGGAATGAACCTCAGTGAGAATATGTTTGCGTCTGTGTGTATGTGTACGTTATCAGTTATTAATGCAAGTTTGGTTTTGTGTGCACGCAAGGGAATTGGTCTTACCTTGCTATAGAACATCTCATCACCTGCCATGTTATCCAGCTCCACTCTGTACAAGTCATCTCTACAAAACACACAACACAACAAATCAGTGCCAATTCAATACTGATGAAATCTGATATAAAACATAAGCAATGTGTAAAGAAGGAAGAAAGAAAGCAAATATTTTTATTCATTTCAGAATAAAAACTGATTTATAAATTTATATTTAGAATTTTATCTAAGGGTAGGGGCTAACAAAGCTATAGCAGCTTGTGTTAACGCTCAATTAGCAAAAAGAAGAGTTTGTGTGAGTATATGTGAATGCATGATCGATCTGTGTTGCATAAAACAGCAGCCGGCTTAATTTATAGTTAAATGAAAAAAGAATTCTCACCACACCATTCCTACAACCTGTTTGTGTTTTTTTGTGACACAAATCTGTTCTGGTCAATCAAGCAAATGCCATGGAATTAAAACTGTGTATATATGTGAAATGTTTCACAGGGATTATATCATTTATTTGTGTTATTTATGTGGTGAGTTTATTAGTCTTCAGGTTTGCATGCATCTTCTTGTAGGGTCAGAATATAATGTTACATATTTATTGGGATTTAAATGAGCCTTGTATTTACATTGTTATCTACAGTATATTCAGCTTTCACCAGGAGGGACAATATTTTTCCCGGAGGACCAGATTTGGCCCGGGTACCACTATTTGCTGTGAGGCAAATTTTCAATATATCATGTATAAGAGTGATGTGAACAAACAGCATTCACTTGACATTTAACAACAAAATTGAATACAACCTCACTAAAACAAACTGAATATGTCCTCTACAGTGACAGCAGATGGAAGCTGTGGCATCAAATGAAAAGCAAAAGGATATTAATGCGAGAGCCTCAGTAACACACAGTTGGAGGCGGTTGCCGTTGGTTACCTGGCTCCTATGTAGAGCGTGCGGTTAACTTGGAGGACCGTCTGGATGTGCAGCTCCTGTCTCTGAGCTGAACGATGAGCTCTGCCCAAGAACACTGGATACCTCCGCACAACTGACATGAACACACAGACAGACAAATAAGAGTGAAACGCTTACTAAAACAAGCTAGAAATGAAGCACCGTCTCTCAAGGATACTTAGACAGTTGATGACAAAGAAAGTACTTTTTCCATCTATAGTGACCCAAAGAAGGCCATAAAACAGCTTCTATAACCTTCACTTTAATAGTGTCTTCACTCATTCTTGATGCTTTGGTTTAGGAAAGCAAAGATAATGGGCAGAGATGAATGGTATAGCAGTGAAAGCACACAAAATACTTTTATCCTCTAAGTGCTTTTTTTTGTTTGCTTTGTTGCTTATGTTGGTGCATGCAGCTCCATCATGAGAAAAACTATGTGCAATCATTATTGTTATTTCATTATGAAAAAATGCATTCCATCCCGCTCCCTTCCTACATTTCATATAATGAATGAGAGAGTGTAGATGAGGTGGAGGGAGAAAGTGGCGGTATCCGACTATGCGAAAGTTTCGAAGAGGAGGACAACTGTCTCCACAGGGAGCCCTCATCATCAGGAGACAGATTGGGAAACTGTCTCATTGTCCTTGACTGCAGGGGAGGGAGAGAGGATGTAGCAATCCATCTCCACCTGTCTCCTCCCCTTCTCTCCTCCACCCCTCAGCCTTCTCTCTTGTCATCTGTATCACCACATCCAATCAAATTTTCTCCCACTTTTTCCACCTTCCTGCACCTTTCCACGCCCTAACTATAATTTCTCCCTCTTTCTTATTGTCTTTATATCCTTCTACCGCTCTCATATTTATTAAACTACTATACTGCCACTGAGAGAGGGACTCAAGTATCTTTATATACCTGTATGCCCGGGTAGCTTGAAAGAAGCCTCACACCAAGGCTCTAACCCTTGACCCCCGATTTCCACATCCACCATGGTGCCATTCATCAATGCTACACATACAGTCATGCAGTCACACACACACACACACACACACACACACACACACACACACACACACACAGTGGGAAGGAAACATACCCTCTATGGGGACGTAGCTGAGTGGACTGGGTTCCTCTGGGAAAGAGCCATCAGCCACTTGCAGCAGCAGGAGAAGAAATGTGAGGGGAGGAGCCACGGTCGCCATGGCAGCAACACACATGCACTGTTAATGCAGAGAGAGGGGAGAGAAAAATGTCATTGTTGTGTACTCAATATTTTTCTGTGTGTGAATGTGCAAGAGTGACATTTTGACAGATTTCTTAATCAGCAGGTACGTGTGTATATATGTATGTGTGTGTGTGTGAGGACAGGGTCACAAGTGCAGCAGGGTACCTGCTGTCATCAGCCTGGCTTCAGCAGGGAGCCAATGTGTTTCTATTGTCTGCTTAGTGGTGTAAAGGGGATCTATTGTCAGAAATGTCACTCCATTGTCGAACAGTTTGAATTGAAGGGGATTCTCACAGTCATAAAACACACAGAGAGACAAAAACATTCACAGGATTACAAAGCCACTTTTGGTGGTAATGTTCCTTTCACTAATTGTCTTTCTTTGCGGACATATGGAGGTTATTTTACTGGTAATTAGCGACAAAAAGGAATAGATGGTCTTTATAGGGAATAACTCGGGTAAGCTGGACAATGTCTTTCTAAAGGTCAAAAGCCAAGAATGCCCCAAACCATGAGCAAGATAAAGGAGGGGAAACAGATCTTGGTCTTTAAAAAGTTAAGAGGCCACAACAGGGTCATACCGTGCAAGATATGTGCACACACAAACACACATACAAAACAAGACTACAAGTCTTCAGCGACACTAGCGGCTCTGTGAAGCTATGCGTCGGCACAGTGGTGCTTTGCGCTAAATTCTAACATGAGCATGCTTCCTAGTTCACAATGACAATCCTAACATGCTGATGTTCAGCAGGTAGCCTGTCATCTTTATCATGTTCACCATTAGTTTAGCATGTTTTCTAATTAGTGTATAACACATGCAACTGATGTAAATGTCCTTAGTTTTGCAGGTACTGTATAAATAGAGTTTTGCTGTGATGGTGGCGCTAAATGAAAAGTTAGGGGATCACCAAAGTCTATAGGATTCATTCTATTGGGACCATGAATGTCTGTTCATGGCAATCCATCCAATAGTTGTGGAGACATTTCAGTCTGGACCAAAGTGGCGGACTGACCGGCCAACCGACATGCCATCCATAGATCCATGCTAAAAACCAACATAAAGGGGTCAAACAGTCAAGAACAAGCCTCCATGCTGTACATCAGTATCTCTTTCACATGTAAAGCCAAGACAGTAGAATCACACCTCTGCACGTAGGTTACTACCAGGTTTTCTGGCAGCCCCACCACCAAACAAATGTTAAAATGTAGAAGATTTTCTCTGCATTTAGGCCCTGCGATGGACTACCTCTCCAGGGTGTACCCTGCCTTTTGCCCGATGTCAGCTGGGATAGACTCCAGCCCCCCGCGACCCTGTGCGCAGGATAAGCGGTTGACGATGGATGGATGGATGGATTTTCTCTGCATTTACTCAAAATGCCTGTGGCTCAGCTTGTGTAGCAAACTATCTTTGATGTGACAATATTTCAAAAAAGAAGAGGAGAAATAAAGAGAATGAAAAAAGACAAGACAAACCAGGAGAACAAAAAAAGGGTGGAGCACTCAGATTTATCTTGGATTGCTGAGAGCGCTTGCTAAAATCCAAGAAAATGTGGAGTTTGATGAAATACAAATGAAAAGAAAGGCTGAAAATTGAAGAAAAAGGTGTGAGCAATATGAATGCTGTTCCCATCAAATCAACCTGAATGCACTGCTTCCCCCAACCCCCGCTTATTTCCTTTCATCCTCCATCTCTCTCCCTCCATCACCCGCCCCCTCCCATCATTTCTCTTTCTTTATATCTCTCGGCTTGTCTGTTCCAGGATAAAAATGCTACGACTGTTTTCAAAGACAGAAGACCAGGTAGAGAGGTAGATGTGTTAGTTGCTAAGGCAATGACAACTGCTATTTGAAGCACACCAGATTGATGCGCCCAGATGTAACGAGCACATCCTCATATACATAAGCACATTCACCTGTATTGCCAACATTTGAGACTGTGCATGGGCTTGAGTGACAAGCTGTTTGAAGACATCAGTAAGGTGAAGTGGGCCGCATACTATACACTGGGGGCCACTTCAAATGAAATTCTAGCCCAGAGATTGCAGGTTTGACATCTCTAAAGCTTTCTCCTCATCAGAAGCATTGGAGGAGCCCTGAGGGGGGTGGAAGGCTTGTTTCGTCCGACTCTCCATTGGGATTCCCTGAAGTAGAACTGATTGAGTCAGCTTTAGGGTCAGCCTCATTTCATTACAGCCATTTCATGAGAGGGATCCAAATTTGATGCTTAAACCTAAAATGAAATTCTGTTGTCTTGTATGCAGTGAAAGGATGGATGGATGGAATTAAATGAAACATGTGCTCCAGTGAGATTAGGCATCATATAGTTTTGGACCAGCTTTGTCACATTAACCCCTTCCCACTATGTGACGCAGTTTGTGTCAAAAAAACCCACACTGCTCCTTCTCAGAGTCAGAAGTCAGTGAAATCTGAACACACAGACATGATCTTTTCCAAGAATATCATTACTGATGTCCATCAGGTAATAAACGTCCATAAATCTGCTTAGAAATGATTTTACAAAAGATGCCCCTGATAACTTGCAAGGAAATCATCACTTTCTAAAATTACTTCTGTATCACAGTAATCTAGAGAACAGGAACTGTTAATTCAGCATACTTTTAATGATGTCAATTTGTCAAAATGCAAACAAGTATACAGTACATAAAATGCTACAGGAGTGTTAGCCTACAGCATATCTCGCTGAATCCATGGCGACATTATCACTTCAAAGTCAGACATTTTGTCTTAATTTAAATGTAATAGGAGTGTCAAAATCCATTTAGATTAAATGTGTTCATGTTGAGGTGTTACTGTATAATTTGTTTGACATTAGCAAGGCTCAGAATGTCCCATCAACTTGGTTCTTATATTCCTGAAGCACTGACCTCTATCCATTCATATACAGAGATTGGCCTTCTGTCGAATGGACATACAAAACAAAAACTAAAAGAATTTAAAATTCCGTTTAGCTGCATTAAACTGAAAACATATCAAGTAACATGCAAATTGATAACATTTCTAAGTAGCTCAACCTATTCTGAAAACAACAATATTTGGCATACATATAATAACTAAAGGCCTGCAAGTGAAGAGAGCAAAAATCCATTTGCAAACAGCCTACACATGCTACATCCCAAAACTCTGCAGCCAACCATTGATATAGCCTCCTCATTACAGGGTGCATTGATTAAGGTTATTGATCCAACCATCTTATCCATAAGATAAACCATCAGATCTAGGCCAACAATGCTGCTGGCCAGTGCCATGACAAAGGCAGTATTTTAATGCTCTGGGCTATAAAAAGAGGTTTGAGGCAGCAATTGGAGGTTTGGTTATCAAGGGTTCTTAGTTTTTCCTGCTGAGCCGAAAGACAGAAGAGAGAGATGAAGGAAAAAACACGGAGTGGTTTGAGTAAAGCACAAAAAAGAGGAAGAGCGATGTCGCCTGCTACAGACTTCCAGCTCATCAAGCTATAAAAAACAGGCCGCTGGTGACAGAATGAGTATCAGGAAATCAAGGTGACGGGTGGAAAGAAGAAAGGGTGTTATGCTATTTGTGTCAGATCGTGTTGGTGTGATAGGATTAAATGGTGTGACACTGACACTGTTATCATGGGATGCATGTAATGACGGCGACAGCCACATGGTGTAATCTACCCTCATCAAGCGACCCATTAGCAAATCACCTGCTAACACTCGCATCATTAACCAATCAGCAGGTCATCTGACAAAGCATAATCACACGCTTTCACCTCTTATCAGTCTGTCCATATGTTTTGTCCTCATCAGCCGGACTGAGCTCCATTTCATAAAGTCTTTCTCCAGTGTGCTCTTGTTCATCTGCTTCAGCTGATCTGACATGATTATCTATTTAATATTTACCCATGATCCAATCCTAAAATGCCTCTGTGGCTGTTCGTGTATGTAGGACAGGCTCATATTTGCACAAGGCATCTCAACTATTAAAGCTGCTGAGCAAGATCAATACACTCTCAAATCCTGCTAAACAGAGACAGAATAAAGAGCACCATCCCTATCCTCACTGAGAGGCACTCACTGGTCATGAGGAAGCACTGAGACATAAATACAAAAGGCCCTAAGCAGTCCGCCTGAAGGCACAGATACACAGCTAACCAAACCCAACATTAAGGATGCTGCAAGCAGTGTTGTCGAGATGCTTGAGCCTTGACCCGACTATTGTGCGGACATTAATTAATCCTTTGATATATATGTGTGTGTGTGTGTGTGTGTGTGAGACAGAAATTGGACCAGTAAAATCTGAACACATATTTTCTTGCTGTTGACATTTTGCTCATCACTCTCTCTGAACTGTGCTTTCTAATGTGTTCTGTTAAAAATGTTGTTGTGATTAGGTCTACAGGCAAACATCTCTCTCTCTCTCTCAATTTTTCCCTCTGTCTCTCACTCTCTCTCTTTAGTTGCTGCAGCCACTCCAGTCAGTGCCTTTGTTACCGTAGCAACCAATAGCAAATCTAGGCAGAGATGTTCTATTGCAGTAGATGAAAAAGTGAGGAGGGTGGGTTCGCCCTTAAATGCACATACGTGCAAGCATACACACATGCTTGCGCACACTGATGCATAAACTTAAGCATGAACCCAGAATCATGGACATTCATATGAGCGTGCATAAACACATACATGGACACAGATATAAGGAGGCGGGGGTCCCCTCTCTCCCAGCAAGGAGGGGGATGGGGGAGCTGCAAGCATTTTGTCTCCACATTATCCACTGCGCTGGCAAGTCAGCATAGCTCATTTGAAATCAATTGGTCAGCAATGGAAAATATTAATTGAAAACACAACAGTGAATTTATTACACATGTTCACTGCTAAGCCTTTTTTTATAGGGTTTCATTTCAGAGAAGTACAATATCAAATTAATCTATCAGCCTGCATGAGCTAGCTGTGTGATTGTGGTTCTGTTACACACTGACTTTACTGGGAATAAGGTAAGCTGTAATGCCACAAACGT